CAAAGGTGTGTTGATAAGTGTCATTCATGACACATTTTAGGACATTTTTCTCCCTTAGTCTTAGGTCTATTTCGTTGTTTCTTTGTTATTTCTAGTACTTTTAGTCTTGTTTTAGTTATCTTTGTCTTAGTTTATGGTTTTAGGCCTTAGTTGTGAATAATATGCTTTTTGCTCGGTTTCTAGTTTGATTTACATGTTTTCCTATGTGTTCTTTCACTCTTTTCTCTCTTGGTCTATTTGTGTAGGTTCTTGGCACTTTATTTGATGCTTATGACCCGAGAGAAGGCAAGGAAGTTTAATAGAAGAAGCTTGAGGCAAGAAAGCTTGAAGCTCGTAGAAAGCCTTAAACCGAGTCTTGTTCACTCTTTCATCCATAACATTTGATCTACACATCGGATTGAGGCAATTAAAAATGCGTTGGAAACTAGACTTAAAGAGCTTTCCAACGGTAAGTTGCACCACTCAAGAGACCTCTTAGAACAGAAGTTATGGTCGTTTTAATATGCAAGACGCTGCGAGGCTGCGCAGCCGCCGCGGGCGCGGCCCAAGCCACCGCAGGCGCGGCTAATGGTGACGCGGGAGTGGCCCTCTTTTCTTCCCAGCCTTTTCAAAATCTGGAGATGCCTTGGAGAAGGCTCGGAGAGGCCTCTCAGGCCAAGCCGCGGGCGCGGCGAAGAAGGGAGAGGGCGCGACGAAGAGGGTCTAAAAATCCGGATTTCCTTCTTTCTCTTCTTGTAATATAAATAGAGGACTTCTTAGACTTCCTTAAAAAAGATTTTACATTTTCTCTCTCTTATAATTAGGATTAGGCTTAGATTAGGAGTTTCTCACTTTAGTTTAGGAGTAGTTTTTAGAGAGAGAAAGCTTGGGATTTCAATAGAGATTTGAGAGCTTGAAGAAGCAATTTTGTGGATTCTCTTCTTATCTATTCAATGAGCTTTTCTAACTTTCTCTCACCTTTATTGCTTTGTTTAATTATTGTTTTGTTTAATTCATTGTTGATTAGAGTAGTTAATTAGTTTTCTTGTTTGATGCTTGCTTTAATTCTAGTTTTGTCTCGTTTTTCATGTCTTTCTTCATTATGTTTGCTTAGTTTTTGTTCAAGGGAAATGGATGAAGGTTATGTTGATGAATTGAGTGATTGGTTGTGATAAGTATGTATTTGATTCTTGATTATTGTGTTTGGATGATGCTTCCATTGACTAGAATCTTTTTAGGTAATTGATTCTAGGGTCTTCATTGTGCTTTCAATCAATTGTGCAAAAGTGAGTTGATTGAGAGTCTAGATTCTTCCATACCTTTGCTAGGCTATCTAGTTGCGCGGGAGTGAATTAACTTAATAGGATAATTAGCATGCTTAATTGCACGGGAGTGAGTTGAGTGTGTTAATCGTTCCTAATTGAGATCATGATCATCTAATTGCAACTTGTTATTGAATTCATTAATGTAATTGGATTCCCCTTTCCCTAGTATCTTGTTAATTGCTTTAAGTAGTGTTTTAGTTGTCTCTCTCTCTCTATCTCACAACCTTCCTACTAGTTTAATTAGCTCAAATTAATACACTTAGTCCTTGTGGTTCGACCCTAGCTTGCCATTATCTAGTGTGAACTTGATAGAGTTAGGTTAGGAATATAAATTAATGATTTGATCTAAGATAGTAGACCACGACCTATTATCCGGCGATCAAATTTTTGGCACCATTGTCGGGGACTAAGGCGTTCATTAGTTTGTGTTGATTAGATTAGCTAAGTTCTTGTGTATAGTTTTGATTTTTGTTTGCTTTTCTTTGCTTTGTGTAAAAAAATGGCATGCTTATCTTTTCCTCAATTTGATGATGAACCCTTCTATGCTTACTTTGAAAGACTAGATGGTTTCCTTAGTTTTCATGGGTGTTCTCTTTGGGAAGCATGTGAAATAGCTTATTGGGGTATGAATGAGTATACTAAGGGTATGGTTGAAAGTATGTTTAATAGTGAATTTTGTGCTTTGTCCTTGGATGATGCTTGGAATTTCTTTGTTTGGTTTGCTAGGGATACTTGTGGTAGGGATTCTCATGTTTCTAGCCTTGATGCAAATATTGAAAATCCTTCTAATTTTTGCATGACCTCCCTTAATGTGCCTAATGCTTCTTATGAAGAACCTATTATGCATGTTGACCCCTCCCCCTTTTATGCTCATTGTGATGAGGTTTGTGCCAATTTTGATGATATGCAATTTGATTTTGATCATGAACCTCATTGATGCCCAAATTCTTGTCCAAATGCAATATCTCACCCAACAAGTCCAAGAGCTTCAAGTGGAACAAAAGTTGAGAGAAGTGAGACTTGCCCAAGTGATGAGTGCTAGGGTTGTTGGAAATGGATGCGAGGCACCTCACTTTGAGTGTGAGAGTGCTTTTGAGGATGATATGGGCCAAGGGTGTAAAGGTGAGGAGATATTTTCTTTTGATGAGAGGATTTTTAAGGATTTTGATCCTTTTCATTCCCCTTTTGAGCTTGATCACCTTCCTTCCCCTTATTCACCCCCTTTGAGAGCTACCCTTGGTGAGGATGTGAGTGAGCCATCTTCAATATTGGATGAGGGATTTCATGAGGAGGATGATGATGAATTTGAGCAACCAAGAGAGATTGAGAGTCCCTTGGATGATGGAGAAGGAGTTGAGAATGAAGAAATTGTTGATTTTGTGGATTCCAACCCCCTTCCCCGTCTTGATGAGTCTACCTTGCATGTTTGTGACCCTTCGATCCATGAGTATTTGGACTCATTTGAGGTTATGACTAGTGTGGTCATTGAAGGAGTAACGAAAACTCATAGCCTTTTGAGTGAGTTCAATGATAATGGTTCATGGGAGATAAATGAGTTTGAAATGAATTTGCATCCTTTCATAAAGTGTTTTGAGACTCTAGGCTTTGAGGATGTTGAGGGAGTTGTTGTTTATCGTTGTGATAGAGAGGAAGATGTGGTTTCTCTTGGAGGTTGGATGTTTGAGGGAGATGGAGATCATGAGTGTTCTTCTTTTTGAGGACTCTATGATTAATTTCCATGCTCTTATTGGTGATTTGAGGAATGGTGGTGAGGAAGAGTTCATAGGTGAGACCATTGCTCTTATTCCCTTTTCTCATGTACCTTTTTCAAAAAGATTTAACCATATCCCCTACTATCCTATGTCCCTCCCTTCTTTTGTCAAAGAGCCTATTGGGCCCCCTCCTTCTAAGGGTGATTTTTCCACCCAAAAAGATTTTGAGGAGGTTTTGCCTTTTTATTCTTTTTCCTTTTCTTCGTCTTCTTCTTCTTCTTATTCCTTTTCTTTTTCTTATTTTCTTGATTTTTCTTTTGATTTTTCTTCTTTCTTTTGGCATCTCCCTCCTCATTTGCGTGCAATAATCTTGTTGCACGTCCTCCTCCCGTCATTTGCCTACCGTTTATCCTATGAAATGTTTAGTAGTGCATTTGACAAGCTCTAGCGTTCGTTGCAATATTATTTATTAGAGCGGTCAAGCTTAGACCTTAAGCAAGCCTTTCTCGGGAAGTAACCCGTGTTTTATTGCTTTCATTTCTTTTCTTTTTTAGTATAGATTTTCTCTCATGGAAATGTTTGTGTGCCCTTTGCTAGGTACATAACTTGATATAACAAAAATAAACATTTTCTTGCTATAGGATATTCTTACAAAATTAAATGTTCATTTTCATACTATCAGATGTTCATTCTTATAATATAAATGTTCACAATTTTAACAATATATATTCATAATTATACTGACTATGACTGACTGACTCTGTCACTCAATATATTAAAGTATTCCCACTTTCCTCCGTTAAATTAAATCTGAAAAACCCCACCAATTTTTTGTCATCGTCTTCCTCCAAATCCACCGTCATTTTCTCTCTCCAAACCTTCAAATTCATCCTAAAATGGCGGCAGCACTACGAGCCACATCCTCTGCCATATCACGAGCAGTCACCTCCAGAACTCCACCATTGATTGGCGGAGCTCGATGGTCGTCGTCGTCGACGTGGTGGGGTCATGTGGATCCGACACCTAATAAAGACCCTATCCTTGGTTTCACCGAAGCTTTCTTGGCCGATCCTTCTCCTAACAAAGTCAATGTTTATTTTATACGAATAAACATTATACTGCATGAAAATGAACATTTATTTTATAAGAATGAACATTATACTACATGAAAATAAACATTTAATTATTGAGAAATACAAAATTATTGTACAATATGTTCAATTAGAAAATGTTCATTTTTGTTAATGAGGGACCATGAATATGTACCTGGTCTCGAGACCGGCCTTCAATAACTGGGATAGGTGGGTTAGCTGTGCAAAATGGGTTGGGTTTGTTGGATGGGCTCATGTGTTGGGTGGGTTATATCAACTAGGTTATGCAGGTGGGCTTAATTTAATGAGTCAAAGTGGGTAAGGCCGGAAAAAATTGACCCACGACACACCCATACCTTAACCGAGCTGTGTCAGTTGATAGCCGGGTCAAGACAGGCCGACCCAGATGACCCACCAGCCGTGAAGGTTAGGGTGGGTTGTGTCCAACCCAGCCCACTGGCCAGCCGCTAAACCTTAATTCTTAAAAGTTTAGCTAGTTTTGGAAACACATTTATACCTGCTATTTTATTTATAGTACTCCTTTATACTTCCTCTGTTCCACAAATATTGCAACAAGGATGAAATTACGCATCCCAAATCACATTTTATATGCTAAATATCTATAATTATATAAGAGTAAAAGTTATAAAAAGTTGATATTGTGAAAGTATTTTACGAGACGAATCTAACAAGACCCCACAAGACTGTATTTTACTTTATGTATAAATCATAATATGTGGTCAAACAAGCATGATGAATACTGTAAAAGTACAAATATTACTAGAACGGAGGAAGTATAAACGTTGCAATATTACTAGAACGGAGGAAGTATATACTTGTATAAGCAAAGATTTTGAAACAATTATCCTAAATGGAGCTCATGCAAAAGTTGATCTAGAGAATTGTTACTCTTAACAAATTAAAAACTTGATTTACATACATGATACATCCAACAAGAAGGGGAAAATGAAATAAGTGAACAAAAAAATAGCCATACATTATTCGTCAAATCCACATCTTAACAATTTAAATACTCTACAATATAATCTGGATCCCTGCTAGACATCCCCCCACTACCCCCTAGAGCTGAGTGAACGAAACAAAATTTCAAAGAGGTCGAACAAGTGTTTCAAGTACTCAGCTAAATGGGCACCGGCTGTCCGGCTGACCAGCTGTAGCATTGTATATGAAGCATGCAGCGTGCTATGTACCAGTTGTATAATGTTCCAGCTGAAAGAGTCCTGCTGTGAGCCTGTAAAATTGATCAGTTAGTTTGCTTCTGAAAATAAATTAAAATGTTGCAAGGAAAAGGAAGGATATCGTGAAAAGAATGGTCGAGAAAAGCTCATTTACAGTATCTTTGAGCTTACACTTTCCCTCGAAATGAAGAGTGGCAGTAGATAATTGGTCAAGTCAATTGATAAATCAAATGTTGATTAATGTTAAGAGTGGCAGTAGATAATTGGTCAAGTCAATTGATAAATCAAATGTTGATTAATGTTGCCTCCAAAAGCAAGGACCTTAAGCATAAGAATGTATGTCTTAGGCTACCAATAATCAGACTAAATAATTTGAGCCCTATTTCTCACCATCGAGTATAATAAGGTTACCTATATTATTCTATAAAAGGTTGTGAGCATTGAATAGAATCCTTATCGAAATCTGACAGCAAATATATACTTATAGATGCCCTATAATTCACACGCACAAAGTGTCAATGTATTGCAAACATACAGTTCATATGGACAGTACAACGCAGAAACAGAGACTACTCTTTTGATAATCTAATGACATTAAATTTATTAACATTCCCCTAGCATATAAATAATTTACCTTTAGTTTAGAACGCATGGCATGTAAAACAACCACTGAGGGAACCCATCTGACGAGTCCGGAAAGACACTGCATTATTGCTCATTTTAGACACCTGAAGCGTCTGATTGGCTAGTATTGTGCTCCTCATGTTCTGAGCTTTTTTCTGAGCAGATTTCAACTTCTTCATAATCTTATCCATTGATGATGACCTCTTCTTTTCCAGCTTCATCTGCATCATGCAATTCAGACAGCACAAGCCTATTAATGTCGTGATATTTCAATCACCTAGTTGCATCATGCATGAACTACTTGATCAAATTTCAGAGAAATCTTTATAATTATGCATCATGACTAACACTACCGAGATATTATCACACAATATAATCTCAAGGCACATAAAACAATAATAAATAAGAACCTCAAGTTTTCGTATGGCTGCCTCAGCTTTGGCCTTCTGCAGATTTTCCCATGCTGAGATTTTAGCTTCATCTCTCCTGGCCCTGTTCAAGATATTGCAGGGAAAACTCGCTTACAATGAGATTTATTTTCTTACAGAGCTATTTCAACAAAGGCCACAGTTTATGTAAGAATGACTCACTTCGAAAGGCTCTTCACCGTCTCTGACACTTCCCAAGCAGAAGAACGTGGCTCTACTTCTTTCAATTTCCACTCATCCACAACTTCAGATTCTTTACTAGTATTGCGCCCCCTATATTTCTTGGACCATCGTGTCACTGTGACTCGCTCATCAATCTGCACATCCCTCAATTCTGGTTTTGAAGTACTAGAGCTCTGGACCTCCATAATTGGTAGGATGGAAGGGATAGATGGAGAGAAAGAAGACCTTCTAGGAGAGGAATGGCAGCTACCTTCAGGGCTCATCTGGGTTGCCATGTCCCTTCTAGAAACAGCACGAGACACAGTGCTGGCAGCATCCTTCACACCGTCAACTCTTTCATCTATGTTCAATCACATACAAGAAAACGATTGAGTATAGTTGCAACAATAATTTCACAACTAATTAGCTACAAAGGGCTCTTTAGATCAGAACATATATGAATTAAGATATTGATGAAAACCTTTCGAGACCGCAATATGCTTGTGACACCATTATCAATTTGACCATGAATAATCCATAAAGACAAAAAATCATGATCATTGCCACTCATTATTTTTTACTGAGTAGATAATTTATTGGAAATGAGACCTAAACACTTCAAGATAGAATGGGAGGAACATAAAAGGGAGAGAAATGAAGAGAAGAGGTAAGGCATAATTCCAAATCTTGATATTAGCAATTTAACGATGACTATAAGCACTTTTAGAGCTTCCACTTCCCTTTAGTAATCACAAATATTAATCAAAAGATGAGAGAATAACACCTCTCAAACTCATGCATAAATGACCAACGAAATGGAAAATTTTGCTAAGCTAGTAGATATATGCTACTCAAACCAAAGATAGACCCTTAAAGGAAACTCCTATGAATCTAGACTCTCAATGGACATTTTAACCACCACCCTACCTAAAAGACAAAGATTTGATTCTTTCCCATCGAAGATTCATCCAAGTTGATCATTTTTTCTAGTACCTCCATCTCGTTTCATTGCTTGATCCCATGAATTAATGCACCCATTCAATCCTTGGGACAATAAATTTTTCATGCAAACAAAAGGTAATATGGCATAATGCATAAAAAGATGTATTTAGGATTCTCATAAACTAAGGTCATTTAATTCAAATGAAGAATTAACTCTTTAAAAGAGCTTCTAGCTATTGTTGATTAAATCAAAATTATAGCTATTTCTACCTTGCTCTGGATTCACAACAGAGCCACTTCATTTACCAATTTACAAATTCTAATTGAATTTCAAGATGAAACACATCATATTCTACAAATATATAGACTATAGGAGTATTTTCAGGTTCACAAATTGATCACATTCATATCACCAAAACAAAGAGCTTAATGTTTGTACCAACAAAGAAAAAAAAGAAAAAAAAAAAGAAAAAAAGAAGTTTAAGGTCTGAAAGTGATATCAAAATGGAGAGTGGGGACAAGACAAACTTATATTGATTTAAGAATTAACTTACACATTCAATATTTTAGAAGTTTACATAATTAATTTATTATTTATATCATAAATCAATTCCAAAACCTGGACCCAACAAAAAAAAATTGTTTTTGTTTTGTTACTAAAATAAATTTGAGTGGACTTCCTTCCAATCTTTTGTTTGTATCTGTGGATTGACAATATGTTGCACGATTAAAGGATTTAAAGCATCAACATTAACAAATTCAAGACCTGAAAATCTTCTTCAGCTATGTTGCCACTAAGAATTAATTACAACAGAAGGCAAAGGCTAAGAAAATGCAAACTCTTCGTTAAGAGTCATTGCAATGCAGAACAAACAATCATACCTTGAGAGCTGGTCAAAGATCCTTGACAGACGAGATCAGTGCACCCGTGTACGCTAGCAGAACGGGCAATACAGGGCTCCAAAGTATTCGAAAAATCTCTAGTTTCACCACTTGCACGAAAAGACCAACCATCTCCCAGCATTGTTCCTGATGAGAAAGGCGATCCTGTTGTATGACTTCCCATATGGTTTCCCTCATAGTACATAGGAACAGCAGGTGAATACAGTGAATAATACGAAACACCAGGTGGCCCAAGCGGACCACTCTTCGACTTAGGCCGCCTTTTAGGTTGCTGATACGACGATGATGAAGAAGTCCTCCCAACTCCGTCCCCAGACACCGGACTAAAAATCCACCTCTCTGCATCCTCCCATTTTGAAGGCAACCCCCTCCCATTATTACTCAATGGCAACAATGCAGCACCAATTTGCCTTCTATTATTACCATTACAAGGCAAAGGAACCCTCTCCGAACTCCATCCTTTCGCCATTCCAACACTCCCATGGCGATAATTGGGTGTCCCTGGGCTCGGAAAATTCCCGGATTTTCGAGGCGTAACCACACCCTTCTTCATCACCCCACCAATTTTAGGCGATGATGAACTCACCACATTCACACTCAATGAGTGATTAAGATCCAATGAAGCCGGTCTTCGCCGGTCTGATTTCTTATTAACAGCCTCAGATCTAGATCTCCTTTCCTGACACTCTAATCAACCAAAAGTGTTACACCAATAAACAAAAACTCCCAAAAAACTTCAATAATTCAATCCCTTTTTCAATTGTTACCTTTAAGAGCTAATGAAAACGAATTTCTCGCAGAATCTAGGGGTTCTGTTACATGATCAACATGATGGTGTGCTACTTTGTTATTTTCTTCTTTGTAAACTATTCACACAACCAAAAAAACCACAATTATTGAACAAAATTTTATACATATAAACTGAAATTTCAAAACCCAAAAAGTTAAACTACTGTAATACTAATAACAACAAAAGTTGCACTTGCACCTTTAGCCTTTTGAACTTTTTTGCTGAGGTATCTCCCATTGTTACTTAGATCTGAGCCTCCATTTCCACTCAAATCCTGCAAAAAACAATATCCAGAAAAATACTCAACATAAATCAACAATGTAGCTAGTAAAAAAACATGCATAGTATCAAGACTTTCGCAACCTGGGAAAAGTCGGACGAAAGACAATCATGATCTTGAGCATCCGAAGCAAAGGAACAACGATCAACACTAGCAGAAGCAGAGGAGAAGAGACTACTGAAGTTTGACTCGAATGTAAGAATGACTGAGTCAGGACTAACATCACGAACAGCTGGAGTTCTTCTGGGTTCCGCCATTAACGATGAAGTGAGGTGTATAACCAACTCACATGGGTGATTTATTGAAGAGAGGAGAAAAGATGAAGTAATTAGGAAATTTGTTTGTGGGGTTGAAATAATTAATTTTTGTGGTCAAATGTGTTAATTGGTACCAACAAACAAGTATGGTTAATTACTTAAATGGAGTATTGTATTTGGGGTTAGTTTGTTTTAATTTTAAAAAATTAACAGTGGGAGTGAGGAATTAAAATGATGATTAATGATGATAAATCTTGGATTTTGAAGGTGTCGGCCTTTAGCAGGATTAATGGAGTTTTTGACTATTGCTTTGACTATAATGGATAATGACTTTTTGGCCCTCTAGCACATTTTGCATGGCATAATTTAAGGATTGATAATCGCTTAACTATATAAAGTAACTAGGCTATGACAAAGTGTTTAAGGAAATTTTTATTACTAGTGGTTTCAAAAGCACACACTGATTCGAAGTCGATCCGAAAATATTCAATTCAGATTTCAGCACGTGTGGACACAATAATTTAACATGACTCACGTTTAAAAATAGGCCGACCTCATCAAACCCAATTCGAACATCCGAATTGACACCTCTACTTCTGACGTCAAATTCAATTATACAAACTTGTAGAAATAAGTTGTGTCAAATCTCGAATAATAATAATCTTCTTCAAATTTTTAGAAAGAACTAGAATATATTTCTGATTTTTATGTTTAAAAACTACTTCTATGAAGTTGAAAGCAAATCATTTACATATTATTAAAGGCGAAACCAATAAGGACACTTGACATTATTACATTAAAAATTTTGCCTCTAAAAATACTTGCTTATAAAAAAATTATTCTTACTAGAAAAAGAAAAAAGAAAAGAAAAAAAAAAACAAAAAAGGGTTTTATCTAAATTATAACATTTGTTTTACATTAAATATAAACTAAACTTTCTAAATCTCTAAATTGTTCATTATAATGGTTAGATGTGGCTATTTTTTTAATATACTTCAAACTTCGTACTTTTTAATATTGGTGAGTGGATGTTATTGTTTATACTATTTTTATAATATGGAGTAATATTTTGCCATTATAATTATTTAACAATCGTGCATCTATTGCACGGGATTTAACCTAGTGGTTTAAGATAACGTGTATTGACTCATTTAATTTAGGAAAATTTGTATTTTACAACCTTTTTTATTTAACCACCCTTTTTAATTTTGTTTTAGAGTACCACCTAAAAGACAAAAAAATTCGATTTCACTACCATTTAACAGTTTAAATCATAAAAACATTTAAATGCTACGTTCCAGAATTTAAAGTAATTTTCCTCAATTTTCATGTCGAATAATTTGCTATACTTCCTCCATTTTCTTTAAATGCATCACTTGAGATTTTGTACTATTCATATGTTACCTTTTGTTTAGGGTAAAAAATACCCCAACACGTGGTCCAATCCCATAACGACACGTGGCCCAATAAAAAGGGTGACACGTATCCCTATAGGAAGATGACACGTGTCAAACATAAGAGCACCTTAAAATGAGAGAAAGGCCTCCTTACATCAGGAGGCCCAAATCCCGAGAAAAGCCATAAAACAACGCCTCCATGGGACATGTGCCCTCACCTGATTGCGTCGCCAATCAGAGCACACCATTCTAGGTCATCAAACCCTAGATGACACACTTTCCCACCCCTATAAATACCCCAATCATTTATGATGGGAAGGGTAAATTGAGACATATCATAAAAAGAGCATTGAGTAGCTCCAACTTCTCTCTACTTTCTCTCTCTACAATTATCTCGTTTTCTGATCACTAACTTGATCGTCGAAGGCGAATATTCCGTCAATCGGAATATTCGTTATTTTTGCAGGTGTCCGTGTCCATACGTCCGTGTTCAAGACCAGTATCCCAAGGGATTCCAAAAAAACCCCGAAACATTTGGCACCGTCTGTGGGGATACTTGTCTGAAACGGCTAAAGATGGTCAGACACCTGGTCCTGGTCAAGAAGGACATGTAGAGACTCTCATTGAGACAATCAACACCAACAATCCTCTGACCGCTTCATTTCATGAGGCCAAGGATCCTTCGGTGACTGCTGGTTCCTTGCAGGTCGCTTTGCGCAAGCTCCAAAAGGAGGGGAGAGTAAGATCCCTTCTTCTTCTAGATAGTTTCCTAGGAGAGACGGAGAAGGTGTCCAAAAGAAAACTCAAAGCAAGGCGGCCAATTCTGAGGATGTTGGGAATACTCCATTCCGACGACATGTAAGGTCACCAAGGGTGCCTCGGATGAACTGGTCCAGGCTACTTGAGAAAACACAGTCGGTTGGGGGGGCAGACCAATCAACTTCTCAGGCAGCCAACCGAGCCATCCCAGTGCTGGAAGGATGCGAGAGACTATCTCCGGCACAAGCGGCGGGAGCGGGCAAACTACTCGGACACTACCTCCATTCCCACCATGCCGGATAAATTCTCCAACCACACCCTCTCCAAGCATACTGCTCGGCCAAGACCAGCAAGAGTCAAGCTCACCGTACTCCAACTCTAGTTCCGTTAACTCAACCACTTCGATTTCAAATGCCTTAGAATTGTGGCACAATTTTGCCGCTTACTCCCCCTGTCATTGGGCAGTAAGGGCAGTATGGCCACCCGTACGACCAGGCAGTTTACTTGGGCGGACCGGCCGCATAACCTCAGCCCATTGATTGGCAAATGCGCTTGTTGAATCTTGGTGACAAGACGCCTCCGTTTTCTCAAGAAATTCTCAACTCTCCTCAACCAGCTAAAGTGAAGAGTGTACTTGTGGGTGCTTATGATGGTACGGGCAACCTAGAAGTGCATGTTACCTCGTACGGAAACATGATGTACTTGCAAAGTGTGGATGATGCCACTTGGTGCAAATGCTTCCCGGCCACCCTCAAGGGTGTGGCACAAGATTGGTTCAACACTCTGCCGGGCGGATGCATCGATTGCTTCAAAACTCTCAGTTTGTTATTTGTTGGAAACTTCTCCTACAATATTCCACCACGGAAGACTAGTCTTAATTTGGCGACTATCGTCTAAGGAAAGAAAGAGGGGTTACGCTCATACGTCCAGAGGTTCAATCAAGAGAAAGCTCAAATTCAGAATATGCCGGATCAAATGGCCTACTCGGAGTTCCTTCGAGGTTTAAGGCATAATGGTTTCAAGTTTGATTTGGTCAGGAAAAAGATTCGGACATACGCAGGTGTTCTACGGGAGGCCGAATCATATATTAACGCAGCTGATTTTTGTTCTCTTATAAAATCAGAAGAGCCGACCAAGGGGGCCGAGAAGAAACAATCTTCTCAGCAAGACTCGGCTGGCAAAAAGAAGGAAGGAGACAACAAAATAAAAGAAGTCTAGGTGGCCGATTGCCAACAGACAAAATCAAAGAAAGCCAAGACGTACGAGCCTCAGTACGAGTACAACAAAGATTGTTATTCAATTTTGATGGAAATCAAAGACAAGTCCGAGTTCGAGAAGCCTCAGCCTTTGAGAGGGCTGACCCAGTACAGAAACAAGAACAAGTAGTGTCATTACCACAAAGATGTGGGGCATGACACGAACGACTGCAACAATTTGAAGAGGTTGCTGGATAAGTTGGTCGAGAAGGGCATGCTCAACTCGTACGTTCTGAAGTCCAAGTTCACCTACTCTCGCACAGACAACAAGTCCGAGAAGAAGAAAAACAAAGAAAAAGATGATGGAAACAACACTGATTCAGGGTTCGTGGCTGTTATATCAGGCGGCTTTGCTGTAGGCAGTCCGACCATGAAGGGAATTAAGCAAGATGCTTGGAATTTTTAAAATGTGATGCACACCGAAGGGGTGAAGGCTGATCTCTTTTTAGAAGTGACGGTCTGTGAGATAGACCGAGGCAATATCAAGGCCCCTCACATTGACCCCATAGTGTTCATCTTGAAAGTTGCCAATTTGAAGGTTGGATGAGTGCTAATAGAAATAGGCAGCTCGTCCAATATAATCAGTTTAGCTTGTTTGAAGAATTTGAAGTTTCCAAAGGATGCCCTCAAGGATATCTCCCACTCGTTAATTGGGTTCGGTGGGAGTATTATCTACCCGGTCGGACGAGTAGATTTTTCGGTTCAATTTGGGTAGAAAGGAGAGGGAAGGGACATGGTCGTCCGCTTCCTAGTTGTTAAAGAGCTCACGAGCTACAATGTTATCCTTGGCCGCCCAACTTTGACATCAGCAAAGGCGGTAATTGTCCCTTAGTTGATGCTGATGAAGTTTGAGTGGTCAGATGGAAAGATAAGTTCCATTCAAGGAAATCAGAAGATGGCAAAAGAATGCAATTAGCTGGCCATGAAGCCCACAACTTGCGGACGAGGAAAAGCGTTTGAGAAAAACTCTGAAGAAGGGTCACTCCAAGCATACCAGGTCGGCCAGAAGCGTAAGTCGATCAAGAAAGAGCAAGCATAGCAACTAATGACCCTCGATTGGCCAGAAGAGTTGAGGCCACAGCTGGTCGGCGATCATACGGATGTAGTGCTTGACCCAGATTAGCCTGATCAGACGGTCAAAGTGGGCACTATGGCCATGGGCTTGCTTGGAGATGACTTGGTGAATCTGTTAAGAGAATTCAAAGATGTGTTTGCTTTTGAAGTTCATGAGATGTCGGGTATCAGCCTAGACTTAGCTGTTTACAAGTTAGCAGTGAATCCGACTGTGAGACCTGTTCATCAGAAGAAGAGAAATCATGGTGAAGAAAAGAAACAGGCGGCAGCAGCTGAAGTTAAGAAGTTGTTGGACGCCGGTTTCATTTGGAAATGTTACTACCGTGATTGGGTAGCCAACATAGTTCTTGTCAAAAAGCCGAATGGAACTTGGAGGATGTGTGTGGATTACACTGACCTCAACAAGGCATGCCCTAAGGATAGCTTTCCCTTGCCTAAGTTTGATCGTCTGGGTTATTTAACGGCCGGGCATGCCCTAATGAGCTTTATAGACACATACTCCGGATTTCACCAGATCCCTTTGTGGGAGGAAGATCAAGAAAAAACAGCATTTATGACCGAGCAGGGGCTATATTGCTACAAAGTTATGCCATTTGATCTGAAAAATTCCCCTGCTACGTTTCAGAGACTTGTAAATACGGTCTTCAATGATCAGGTCGGCCGGAACATGGAGGCTTATATTGATGATATGATTGTTAAATAAAAAAGGTCGGCCGACCATCTAGGTGACCTCCGAGAAACATTTACCGAACTCAGGCGGCATAAGGTGATGTTAAATCCAAAGAAGTGTGTCTTTGGTATTGAGTCTGGCAAATTTCTCGGATTTTTAATTGATCAGC